ATTAGGAGCGACAGCTGCAATACTTGCGCTACTGGATTTCGATAAATGTTATGCATGTTATAATTAAAATCTAAGTCAAAAAGATTACATTGGAAAACTCTACGAAGATATAATTAATTAACATTGAGAGAGTAGACAACTAGCAGAACAGTTTGTAGCAAAAAATTTGAATTATTCTATGCAAAATAGTTATCGCATTGATTGAGATAAAATACTATTGATTGACGTTTTTTTCATTTAGGATTTTTATGGAAATCTATATACGTTATGTTTTACTTTAAGATACCCTACTATCACATATATAATCAAATATTATTTGGACACAAAAAAATCGAAATAAAGTCGCAATAAGATTAAAGATACAGATTTACGACATGGAAACCATTGATTCTTGAGGATGTTAAAAATCTCATGATCATGTTGTTAAGAAAAATAAAATTGAATATAAAGAACCGGCTAATATTATTAGCAATATTGTTTATGGTAATGAAACTTTATTTGCATGTTATTGTGAACATTAAAATAGAAAAATAACGAAAAAAGTTTAGAAGAAAGAATTTGTATAAATAGTTTTTCTTACGCTGAGATTCCACTTTAGTTCAAATTCATAATGGATCTTACACGAATATTAGAAACTCCAAGTGATGCTGGAAAAAAATCATAAAAAAACGTTTATAAAATTGAAAAAAATGCATATGTTCTGTTATTATTCGATGCAAATAATCTTACATTCACAATAAAAGATGATATAGGAATCGAAAATCATGATGATTATTTTAATATTATTTGAAAAGGTGAAGGTATTTGACAATAATAAAATGCTGCCCACACACACAATCACGTTCACTCATTCTCTATTATTAAATTTGATCTATCCATAATTTTAATTAGAAAATAAAATAAATAAAGATAATATTTTTACAATTTTACTTCTAAGATAAGTGATAAAATAAACATTTTAGGGATTGATGAGAATAAAAAGTAATTCAATAGAATCGTTTATTTTTTTGAAAATAAAGTAAATTTTCTTTTATAAATGAATATCATTGTGTATTTTATGTGTCAAAATATATTTCATGACCGAAAAATAAATTTTAATTTAAATAATACGATCTTTTTTATTCTTATATGATTTAATGTATCAGTGAGAACGCATCTCATCTATCGTTTTCTAATTATTTTTTCTAATGAGATAATGAGAATATTATTAAATAAATATTTAAAATAACAATTCTTTTGAAAAGTATAAAAGTTTTGTATTTAGAATATTTTTGTTTCGAAATTAATTTATCTAAATATAAGACAAAATAATTTCTCATTGAAAGTTTTTTTTTTTTAACTAAAATATGTTTCTCACAATTGAAAAGAAACTTTTATAGAGTTGTTAATTGAATTAACCATTCGAAGGTGTGGGTGTGGGTGGGTGTGTATGAATATAGAGGAGACACATTAACATCCACACTCTCACCCACAGACAATGTCGTTGGACGTCGAAGAATATTGCTGCGCGTTTGAATTCTTTTAGCAAATTGTGCATAAAGCATATTAAGGAATGTAAAATAAGATTTTTTTCACGTGTCTTACTCCATTATAATTCAACGCAGCCAATTGCCACCCTCAGCACGAACCGATTACATTTTTCATACGAATGTTGATGGAACGAAAAAAAAAGCATCGAAGTGTCGATCGATTTTTCCATGCTTCGAAAGATGCGAATTGCTTCGCTTGAGAGCGACGGAGTCGAGCAAAAAGGCTGTTATTCTGGGGAAAAAACCAGTCAGTCACTTTTGATTTTTCATTTGACGAAGCGCATTCTTGCACACAGTAAGGAGAGAAAGGTAAGTGCGTCAGACACGCAATGTGTTAAATCTTATGTTGGTAAAATAATTTATTATCGATGCATAATGTCTCGACGCCAATTCGACAGCTGTCTTAGAAACATTGTAAATTGATGCTCAGACATCAACACAGTAAATATCGCCTCTCTATCGTTGACTTATATTTTTTAATATAGGTGAGAAAGTTAGAAGTTTGATGAAAGCTACCTTCAGGAAAAATCATCGAATCTGATTGATATCGTATTAATACAGTATATTCATTTAATACACTGCTAAAAAATTTCACGATTTATTTCAGAAACGATGTCCTTGAGAACACCAACGAATATTAATGTAAAAAATGGAGATGGATGCGCCTTTATTACATGGTCTACCGTTCCAAATGCAACCATGTATGAAATTCAGATTAAAAATCAAAAGACGTGGCTGTCAGAAATGTCGCGAACAAGTATCAACTACTTTGTGCAAATGAATTTGATCAATGGACAGTGTTATATAGTTCAAATCAAAGCGATAAATGAGAAGTCGATAAGTCCACCTTCTTCAGATGTCAAAATACGGCCTCGAGCATGTCAATGCTTATTTGACTTTTCAGCTAAACGTATAGGGAATTCATGTCAAATCAGATTGAAATGGACAGCAATACCAACAAACGTTGGTTATCACATCGAGAGATGTGATATTGGCCATGCTAATAAGTACTTCACTATAAACAATATCACAGATAATAACGTATCAACTATCACTGATCAAACTTCTTGTGATATGACTAAACTACAGTGTGCAGGTCATTTTTATAAAATTTCAGCAAGTGATGCACCATGGTTACCGAATGGATCAAAATCAACTGCGATGGTTTTGTGTATAAAACAATCGCAACTAACCGTTTCCGCACAACCAATAACAAGTGTTGTGTCTACTGCGGCATTATCATTACCAACAGCTTCGACGGCCAAGCCAGTTGTTGATGCTAAAGATATGGGTTTAGTCGAAAAAATGCAATTGCTTATAGGAATGAGACGTGAAGTTATGCCGGGGATAAAAAATAAGTCAGACACGGAAAACAGCACAGCCCACGCTACTGTTTCTGTAACGCCACAGGTAATTATAGATATGAGGCTGTTGAGCTTTATTTTTGTAACACAAACATATTGTCTATGTTGTTTGTTTTTACGATGGATAAGAATAATACAATGAAATACTTTCCGTTGCAGGACTCCTCCACTAGCGCAAATCAAAAAACAGCGATTAATATTTGCAAAGGTGATGTAATAAATCAGCAAGTACGTTACTTTCGCCAATTTATTTTTTATATAGGAAAAATATTTCAATTCGATTTTAGACCGATATTATAGTGGTATGCTCCTCTTCTGAATATTTATTCAACGCTATTTGTAAAGCTGGTGGTGACTTTTTTAAAGCTTCATATGATACACAGTTAAAACAAAATCCTGATTCATGTATCATTGCTGTTAAAGCTGAAGGACAGCTCGCATCAAAAATGGTTTATTTCCTTCCGTGGAAAAAAGATTCCGATGCATTGCTTCTTCATAAATCTTTTGAAAAGTTTGTTTCTGATGCTGTAGAAAAAGCAGTACTAGAAAAGTATCAAAGTATCGTATTTCCAGCTATCGGTTGCGGGAAGTTCGGATGTTCAATCACTATTGTCGCACAAGCGATGGTTGGAGAAGCTCATCGAATGTTTCAAAAATATCCTATTTCGATTTCGTTTATTATTCAACCAGAAAGAACTGATATTTACGATGAATTTAAAAAGAAACTCAATGCATTGCAATCCTCACAGTCATTCACACTACAACAACCAATAATATCAACGTCATCCGTGTCCGCACCACAACAACCAATAATATCAGCATCATCCGTGTCCGCACCACCGCCACCAATCGAACCAGTGAAAACAATCACTTTAGCTGTCAACAAAGGAACTATTGAAGTGGAGAAAGGTGACATAACAGCACAAAAGGTACATAGATATATTTGTTCATATAATAAAATAACTTTTTAATTTTTGGATATGGTAGGTCGATGTCATCATTGGAAGTTCCTCATCACAAATTTTAAAACAAGCAATCATAAAGGTTGCTGGTGATCACGTTAACAAATCATACAATGATGAATGCAAGAACAATTCAAACGCTATATTAATTTCCACACCACCTGGTAATTTACCCTGCAAACGAATATTTTTTGTTAAATGGGAACCTAACAGAGATGAACAAATACTTCGTCAATCTCTTACTGATTTAATTTGGACTGTCATACAAAATGTGCTATCATATAACTTTACGTCGTTTGCATTCCCAGCCCTTGGATGTGGACAGCATGCTTGTTCTGTAGATGTTGTAGTGAAAACAATGGTGAAAGAGGTTAAAAATCAATTAACTATGAGAAATACGCCGCTTGCAGTGAAGTTCATAATACAACCTAATCAACAAAATATTTATGATGAATTTTGTAAGCAAGTATTAGCAACAAAAGACGGTATAGCTCAAACTTTTCTTTAACTAGTTAGATTCAACCTTTTTTCTAGGAGATATTCGAGAATCATTCGATTATCAGCGACCCATGGCGTGGGAAAAATCCAATGAAAAGAAAATACGTTTTGAGTTATCAAATACAACAGATGAATATAAATCAATCTCAACTAATTTTGATCAGGTTATGAAAGGAAAATACACACAAATTATACGAATAGAGCGTGTTCAGAATGAACGATGGTATATTCAATATTTCGCACATAGTCAGCATTTTAAAGCACGTCTGAGTACCGACACCGAAAAATATTTGTATCACGGCTGTCCTGATAATGCCGCTAATGCAATTATGGACGATTGCTTCAATCGAAGTTTTGCGGGTGTTAATGGTAAGTTTAATTTCTATTTTATTTATTTTAAATTGATTGTGTTGTTGTGCTTAGGAACAGCGTATGGTGTCGGTGTTTATTTTTCATCAAATGCAGCTTATAGTCATACCTATACAAAACCAAATGGAATTGGTGAACGTAACATGTTCTTAGCACGAGTTCTAGTTGGAAATACAACAAAAGGTAACGGCTCAATGAAGACTCGACCTATTGGGTTCGATTCAACAACTGATGGTAGTCATATTTTTGTCACTTATCACGATGCTCAAGCTTATGCAGACTACTTAATTACTTATAAGTAAAAATGAACGCTTACGATTTCTTTGATATATTTTTTATTTATTCCCGATTAAAACTACATTAAATAATGCGATAATTATCATATGAAAGTGAGTATGGATATGGATGTAGATAAATATTAATCTGACATTCACATCCAAGTAATAATGATTGGAAATAATCTTGAAAAAAATAAAATAAAATTTAAAAAACAAAAACAATTTGTGTTACAATATCTTAAGAATCTGATGAATTGTATAAATGTATAGCAGAAGTTTAATTAACGATTGCAAAACAATTATAACGCTTTTTTAAAACACGTTGAAGCACTTGTCAATATTAATAATTTCTATGAAGCTTAACAAAACGTTGAGTTAGTAATTATAGTACGTGGTCTATTAGGTATTTATTGTATAAAAATAGTTTCAGAAGAAATTGATGAAATAAATACGACTCAAAATAAAGTTTTATCGGAAGTAATCCAGTAGCAGATTTTTCTCAATAGATTTAATACAGATAAAAGTACAAATCTAATATATAGTAAAGCTTTGAATATATAATAAAAGAAAATATTGTTACTAAATTTCGAAATGAACTCGAATTAACGAAGATAATAAACTCTCGAAATTCAAATAATAATCATATACGAACAGTTGAGTTTATTGTTAAATATTTATCAGAAGACATGAAAAGTGGTCTCGAAGCAGAATTAAAATATTATAAGAAAGATATTAATATTATGGCTCAAGATAATAAGAATCAACTCGATTAAAAATAAAGACCCAAAAGAAATTAAACATCATCAACGATATAAAATAATTTTAGATAAAGGTCGAGATCCTGTTTTGAAACAAATGGAAGGTAATGTTAACAAAGTATTACTTTATGTTAAAATTCTTTATAAATAATAAAAAATAAATTTAAAGTAGCACAATTTTTTATGAATTTTTTTTCAAAAATAATACAACTGAAATTATTCATTGTAAAGAAAATTTTTCTGTCTGCTTGAATTTGTTAAATTCAAAACTGCGTGAAAGTATACACGTTTAAATGTTTTATGTACGTCAGTTTTGGTTCTAATTTGAATTTTAATAGAAAATTAAAAATTTAAAAGAGCAAATATTGTCACGGGATGAATATACGTTGAAATAAAGTGACGGATTTCGAAACTCGTAAATCAGTTTTTTATTGGTCATTTCGTTCCCCAATAAAAAATAAACAAAAATACATTGTTTTGTTTGTACAATAATAATTAAATAATTAAAACTTAAACAAACTATTGTTAAATCTTAACATAAATCAAGAAAATAATTCTATTGATAATTTATTTTTTCTTGTATAGAATGAAAGCATTATATATTAATATTTTTCGTAAATAAATGAAGATAATGAAAATAACTTGACTTGGTTTGAGTGAAAAAATCGATGACTGGTCCATCTCTGCTGTATTCACATCAACATATAAATACATCATCCATCTTTCACCAATACATATCTTCAATAAAACAAAACTCAAAATTTACTTATATCAATTCCTGATAGAACAGAACTTTGTAACATACACTAAACATTTCAGTAACAACTAATGTTGAGTAAATACATACAACTATAACTTATACTTGATAAATATTCTGCAACTACTGAGAAAATTATTTAGAAAAAAAGATCAATTGTATTAAACTATGTAAATTGCTCGGATTATTTTAAATATTTTCTTTTTATTATTCATGATTAATTTCTAAAGCTTACTAAATAATATGCTTTAAAAATATTTTCTGTCATTAACTTATTCATTCGTAAAATATTCATTATAATATGTAACTATCATAAATTACATTCTAATGTTTTTATTATAATTTTATTATTAATCAACCAAAAAAGAAAGAAACATTACACAGATTGTGTATATAAATGTCTTTGCTACCTTAAAAAAAAACAACAAGGATATTAAATGATTATCCTTTGAATTATAAAGTTAGTTTGAATTTGTTTAATATGTTGTTACACCAAATCCGATTGGAACACCTTGTACTACTTGTCCCATACCACCTCCTAAACCGCCCATACCTCCTCCGTAGCCACCAAGACCACCACCCATACCTCCGAAGTTAGCAACACCAGCCATAGGTAAACCACCTCCGAGGCCACCACCAAGACCGCCAAGACCACCACCAAGACCACCCATACCTCCGTATCCACTCATACCACCCATACCTCCTCCGTATCCACCATTAACAAATTGTTGGTAAGCCATACCAAATTGTTGTGTCCATGGAACCATAACGGTTATGACAGGTCCACCACCGAGTCCAATACCACCGAGTCCACCACCAAATTGTCCAAGTCCATTATGTCCATATTGATATCCGGCTTTAGCTCCATATTCAGCTCCTCGGAATGCTCCAAGACCAGTAGCACGTCTATTTTCAAATCCTTGAACTGCTCCAGCAGCTCCATATTCAACGCCTCTAGCTAATCGACGACCATCAACTTGAGAATTGTTAGACATAGGAGTTGAATACATTTTTGTTTATATTACGTGTATAAATAAAAGTATAAGGTATGTTTTGTTGTGGTGTTGTTATTTTGGTATATAATGGCGGATTTGTGATTATGCGGTTAGTAATCGACGATATATATGGTTAGGCATCTTCACACATAAGAGAGAGAGAGAGAGAGAGATAGATAGATAGAGAGAAAAAAGAGCGACGCCCCATCCATGTGCTATCATTCATCTCGAAAATAAAAAATAATATCATTATAATACATATTTCTTTTTTTTATGTCCTTGTAAAATATTTTAGTATAGGTAAGATTTTTTTTATTAGATTGCAAAATAGATAGAAATAATGAAATAAATCATTATACAAAGAGAAGAAAAATATGTCATCTCGTTTAATTAGACACTCATCAAAAATATAAAAATGGTATTGTATACAACAAGGTATCGAATTATTAATCGCAAGGAGAAAAAAAAGAGCAAAAAAATACGTATCATTATAAAGGGTTTAATTGATGTCTATGTAAGAAAGAAAGAAAGAAAAAAAATACAAAATATAGCTACAGGAATACATCGAGCTATTCGTTTAATATGTTTGTTTTTTATCCTTGCGATCAAGACCATGCTTTGTTTGGTTTATATTCATACTAAATTGAGAAATAATTGCTTATTTCCAACATAACTTATGATATACAGTACAATGAAAAATATTTTTGTTATCTATTTATAAAAATATAAGTTTTAAAACATTTCGATGCAATATTGATGAGTTATCTTCAAAGATATGTAAAAAAATTAATATAGGCAATATTTCTACTAAAAACAAGTTTTTCGAACGTGCAAGTAATTCTTTTCTTACGAAATTATTTCTTTGAATGAAAAATATTCCTTATCAACCGATGCTATTGAATCTATAAGTATAGATTTTATAACGTTTCGATAGACGAAGTTTATCTTCATGACTCATTTAACGATTTGAATGTTTTTTTCTTTTTATGTATATCATAAGATATTAGGAAGGAAGAAGAAAGCTAGTAACTCATTCTTCTATCAATATCACCGTCTTACCGTCCTACACGTATATGATATATATGTGAAAAGAAAAAAAAATATTAAAATAATTTTTACATCGTTAAATGGGTCATGAAGATAAACTTCGTTTATCGAAACGTTATAAAATAAAGTATTGTTAAATATTTAAAATTTATTATACATATTTTATTTTAATTTTAACTTTAAATATAATAATCAATTTATATAAAACAAGTAATACTGTCTCCTCGACTAGTGATGGTGAATGAGTGTGAGTATGATGAGGCAAGATCGTACCTTCATCCATACTCTTGGTATATCACTATTAACGTTCGATCGATTAGACAATATTTATTAGAATTTGTCAAGAGCAATTAATAATTTTAGTTAATGCTTAAACTTCATTCAATTTATTTGACTTTTATCCGATAAATAAAATATTCTTGAATAGATGTATTTTTTTTCGTATAACAAAAAAAACAATGAAAATGATTGTATCCATTAATTCGGTACCCAGCATTGTCTTTATCCACACTTTGAACAGGTAATCTTTACTTCATTTGCCACACCCACTAATGTTGCATCAATTGAGGGTGTGGGAAACAGTGTATGATGAATATGATAAACATACACATCAGTCTGTAAAAAACAGATTTTTTTTCTTCTCTCGATACGATACCATTGCATCATTTTATGTTAGTCAGTATATGAAATCGTACGGGAGAAAACCTGTCTTATCAGATAAAAAAAGTTTCAAATGAATTGAAATCTCGATCGTTAATATTTATGAATCCATATTACAATCATATTCATCATGAATTAATCAATAAAATAATTAAAAAGAATAGTATACTTAAATTTCAACAACCAAGATGGTTTCTCACTGTACAATTAACTATCAATTTGCTATTGTTAATAATGAAGGACATATTTCTACAGTCGATTTTGTTAATGAACATTTCAATTATACATCATCATTATTAATCAACTTGAGTCGTTTTTATAAAAATGAAATTACTTCATGTTGACAAAATAGAGTGAAAATTTTAAATTAAAATGTCTTCATTATTTTTATTTTAATTAAGAATAGTAAGAGAAAAAGACATTGTATGAAGAAAAGAATGGATATATATATAAGTATTTCTCAAATGATGTATCGATAGTAAACATCATTTCAAAGTGATATCCTTAGGTATTAAAAGAAAAAAGATGAGAATTGATGTTGAAGTATTGTTATAGAAAAAGATGGCAATATTGATAGTTTTATGCACCTTCTTCTTCTTCTCCTTCAGCACCTTCACCTTCTTCTACAAAAAAAAAAATACAAAAAAAATTAATATATATAAAATAATCATCAATGTGTTACTCACCTTCAGCTGTAGCATCTTGATATTGTTGATACTCACTGACAAGATCATTCATATTCGATTCGGCTTCAGTAAATTCCTTAGAGAAAAAAAAAGAGAATATTAGAAATGTTAATCGATTAGTAACAATTGGACCCAAAAAATGCTCAAAGTCGACGTCGACGACTGGGCGAATCATCATACTCTAAAATTTTTCGAAAAATAAGCAACAAAAGAAAAGAAATTTAATAACAATGATATAATCTGCTTAAATTAAAATATTTGACGTTGATTTATACTCGATAAAAGAAAATTTAATTCTAGGTTACCATTTCATCCATTCCTTCACCAGTATACCAATGAAGAAAAGCTTTTCGTCGAAACATAGCCGTAAATTGTTCCGAAATACGTTTGAATAATTGTTGAATTGCTGTGCTATTACCTAAAAATAGAAAAAATCATTGAAACAAAAAGTTAATTTTATTTTTCTTCAATATTATTTACCGATAAATGTTGCTGACATTTTAAGACCACGTGGTGGAATATCACAAACAGCTGTTTTAATATTATTTGGAATCCATTCAACAAAATAAGATGAATTTTTATTTTGTACATTTAACATTTGTTCATCAACTTCTTTCATCGACATTCGACCACGAAAGATTGCAGCAACTGTTAAATATCTTCCATGTCGAGGATCACATGCAGCCATCATATTTTTGGCATCAAACATTTGTTGTGTTAATTCTGGTACAGTTAATGCACGATATTGTTGTGAACCACGAGATGTTAATGGTGCAAAACCTGGCATAAAGAAATGGAGACGTGGAAATGGTACCATGTTAACTGCTAATTTTCTAAGATCTGCATTCAATTGACCTGAAAATTTTAATT